TTCAGGCGCACGTGTGTTATGTGTGTCACTCCATTGTGATAGAGGTATGACATAACCTCTGGGTTCAGATGTGTTGTTTGCTAGCGCGTAATCCGAATACTCCGTGTCGGAGACAGCGATGGAAACATTAGGCCGTCCGTGTTCTGTTGTTTTCCAGCTCTTCGTGACTAATGTACGAGTATGAACCTGTGATGGCATGTGATACACACTTTCGTCATACTTGTGTGGAGCAATGTCATACCTGCCAGCGACATCTCGCCCTGTATTCGGTGTTGCTTTACGGTCGATTGAGTCTGTTTTAATTTTTGGTCGTTTAATTTGGTAAACTGCAGTTGTGGAAGGCGTATTGGTGTTAAATACACTTGGTTCGGTAACATATCCGCCATTGAATTTATCGTTTTGATTCGATACCGGCGTTGTAAACGTTTCTGCATAGCCAATCATCGTTTGCCTTGTGTTTGGTACCCGTGTTCTTACTATAGCTGGTCCGTGCTGAACACTCTCGCGCAGGACTGGAGTTGTCCGGTGTTTTTCGTTAGCCATATAGTTTATGGCATGCAAAGCAGGGTTATTCAATGATTCTGTAGTGATAGTCAAAGATGGCGTCCTATGTACGTATATGACACCACCAGATGTCGTTGTTTCACTGTCCTGATAACTCCATGAACCCATTAGTTTGTCTGACAAATCCTTCCATGCTTGAACTTTATCTTTCCTTTCGTTATCACGTGTTTCATGGTTGTCTAACCTTTTTCTTATCGAGCTATTTTTGTAAATAACATTTGGCAAACTGTCACCCTTTTTACCTCGTTGTTGAGGATTGTGATTTCTCATCGATTCTGTAGGGGTTGGATTTGATTCTATTACTCTTGGCGTTTTACGGAACGCTGATGACCCGAAAGCAGCTTTGTTCAAAACGGAGTTCTGACGTTCAGATGCCTCCTGTCGGTGGGTTTTATCTGGTGTTGACAGTAAGTTTGTGACCGGGAAATGATTTAGAAATACCCCGCTGGTGTCAGGACGAGCAAATCGTTTTGACATACGGTGTATTCTGGCGACGCCATCTTTCTTTCCGACTTCCGGGCTGTGTTGTGTTGCCTTGGTTTTCAGAGTGTTTTGGTTTTGAACCGGATGTGCATTTGACAACGTGATAACTAAGTACAGGGACAATGTTAACACTAATAGAACTACTGCTTTCATTCCATAATTGTCTCCCATCTGTATAAAAGAAATATAGTTTATTAATAATACAAACTCAATCACAGAAGAATATAGATAGATTATATATTTCACTTTCATGAATATAAAATATTTATAAATAAATATGCGGAACAATAATTTGACTTTACCTTTCAAAGATTTTAACCAAAATAGCATTTTACATATTTGATAAAATAACCGTAATATTTTAGTATGTTATATTGATTATCTTCCTATCGTTTCTGAATACTCGACTGAAAATGTAACTCTTTGTTCACAGAAAAAAAGATTGAAACAACTACTATTGTTACAATGTACCTACGTTGTTTTCGTTTTGCTAGGTTTATATAAACTTATATATTTTTATTCCTACGGATTTATGTAAAGGAGGAAGAATAACTTATTGAAATACTATTACGGATATACAATGTAGATATAAACAGACCTTCTTAATGTCGATCTGCTTTCAGCGAATTTCTACGAAATTAAGTTCAAAGCTGTTACCAATTACATCAATGAAAGCCATGTTGAAATATACATATTTTATAAAACATTAAATTGATTGATATTAAGTAATGTACTGACATGACATAAAACTCGAGAACCAAAGCAGAATTTATAATCTTGATGATTTAAACTACTGTATGTAGAAAAAATATATTTGATTATGCGTTGCAAAAATATCTATTTCCATGTACTATTAACATAATTTTTATACTAAAATGATGAAGATTTCATGCCTAGTGCCTAGTTCAGATAATTCGAAAAAAACACACAAAAACCTGTCATTATGTGCTTCGAATACACAATTAATTTCAACAGCAGTTCAGAATATAAAAAGAGAAAAACAAGCAATGTTGGAAACAGGTACTTGGATATAAAATGTAAAATGGTCAGTTTAAAAGTTATCAATATTTAAAAAGATGACCCACCGTGGACCTTATTTCATATCATGTTAAACATCACCCCAAAAAAAATCTACTTTTAGAGACGACACAGTTTAGTATAAATATATGTATATTTATAGATTTAAAGATTAAGTACATGTACGTATCTTCAGATCGTTTATGGGAGTTCTTATGCATGTGTTGTTAATTTGAATAAATTGTTTATTAAGTTATTCATCAGCTACTCTAAATCAACTCTGTATTATAATATTCTAATATCGAATTTATCGGATATGATTAATTTGTCTTTCATGTAAAATAATGTTTGAAAGAGACATTTAACTATTTACGGCATCAATCAGGATAGTGTTAATTTTTGGTTGTTTTGGTTTTCATATTAGTTAATATATCAACACTCGTAAATTAACTTGCATTGCTGTAGACTTGGGATGGTTTTAATCAAATGAAACATCAAAAAATCAAATACGAAAACAAGACGCATTTACCACTTTGTTGGTATGATTGTTTTCCTCAAAAATGTAAAATTATTTCTTTTGTATTTATGCTGAAGATCTTATATTTCATTTACAAACCGGTTTGAAGTATACATTTTGTCATCCAGAAACCAAAAATGGCAATCGATAAATTTTAAATAAAAACATCTATTTAAAATTATGCCTGGGGGAAGCGTTAAATCAATATGCAAAATGCATTGTCAGACAACCTTAGATAGTAAGGCAGAAATAATCATAATAATAATAATAGTATGAACGACACCATACTATTCTGTAGGTCTGTATATGTATCTTGTCATAAAATCCTTATCTTGTATTAAACAAACTTACCTTTCTCTCTACTATATAACTGCCATAATAGAATCTCAGTGATCCGCCTTGGTATCTGAACAAAGTTAAAATGAACCTTGACCGTCTAGAGTGACAAAAAACCATGAACGCAAATACTGTCTTCATCATATAAACATATATTTGGAGAGTAATATATCATGTAATATTCGTTTGTATCTGTAGACCACCTAAGGTGAGAGGCTTTACGTCAATCGGACAGCTATTGAAGGAGATGTAAAACATAGCTGCTGATGGATTTCGTATGTCCCATGTTACACTCTTACATGGAATGCCGTTGTGTTTTCAGTGTACGTGACCTTAAGCTCTGCTGTTGATACATTATAGACACTCTCGCACCACATAAGACCTATTTCATGTGTGGCGTGACATTGCTGGTACAGTATCACAGCGACCAACCTGTGATACCTATATGGTAGACATCAAGCTATAAATAAATCAACACCTTTCCTATAGAGAACGGCGCAAATATCAATTTACTGCAGGATATATATTGCCATACGTGAGCCCCCATGTTTTTAAAAGCTGATAGGATTGTCTTACGTATTAATCAAACCTTGGGTAAACATAAGTATGAATGCGTTGTCAGTGACGTTAATCAGTTTGACGGACATAATGTAATCGTTGTAAAATTGTAGTAACCACATACATATAGGTGTATGAGTTTGCTAAAAGAAAACCACGTCGTTGCCATACTAAAGAATGACCTAGGTAAATGGACAATGGACGTCAGCGTATTTTATCATGTCATGTACTTATTTCAACGTATACAGTTTGACCCATTTTGTTTAAAGCAGCTGGGTTCGCTCATTCCAGATGACAAGGTACATTTATGTTTTCCCCAACGCTACGCATATGAGGATTCAAAACGACTCCGTGCCGACAATACACATGTACAACTATTGAAATAAATAAATCAGTTTTAAAATTGGAGTTGTATCAATGATATCTTTTAGATGATACCTCCGATATGTCCGATATTATACAGTATGACGTCATGATGTTATAAGATATTGTTTCATGTGTATCTCACACTGTATAGTTGGTATTTTTCGCGGGATATTAATTTCAATTATATTCGCGATCCCCAGATCATCCGGTCGCAGATTGTGCGAAATCAATTGCTATTATAAAAATACTGAGATAAAAGCAAATACATGTATTTATTTACCATTTTACTGCCAATTAATGGAGAGGAAAAACAAATCTTATCTCCCAAATACAAAGGTAACGTCTTGAGCGCAATATTTTACCTGGCAATGAAGCGCGAAATTCAATTCTTAAAACTACTTTTGAAAATTAAATGAAATAATATATGATCAGTCAAATTAACAAATATTCATCAATATACAAAAAGTCTTTATTGTTTAAATTAACATATTGTGTCTTTTAAACTGAGATGTATAAAGCTAAATTGAAAAGGGGATTATAAGACATCACTTGACATTGTTTAAACTGCGGAGTACTTAAAGTAAAATAGAACAGAAATGTACCATATCGACAATAAACAGAACCTGATGCAGATACAGTAGCATGAACTGAGGAGATATCAAAAGTTTTGATGCACATAAGATAAATGACAAACACTCGGCATAATGCTGAAAATAGCCAAACAACTGCAATCTGGGCTACATAGAGAAAGATATTTCCTATAAAGGACGTAGACATTTGATTTGTTGAGAAATGTTTTCAAATGAAATCCCGAGGCAGGTCGGTCATGAATTCGTATATGCCATCAAGAGAAATCTACGTAACTCAAAAAGAAGATTTCATTTTTTTGTTTTTTTTCCCCAATCGTATATCCCATAGATAGATCATTTTGTAGACACTACAAAAAAACTGTTTTAGTCAAAGATCGTGCCGTTATCTTGATATTTCCAAACAGAATATATCAATTGATCTTGATGTTATTTTCTTATTCATTTTGAAAGAGCAATATTTGTGGGAGTATCAAGATTATCAGGCGTGGAGTGTTATTTGTTAATAAGAGTTCAATATCAGTCTGGATTCCTGCATTCACCTATATTCGCCGATGAGGTCTTTGAGATTTTCATGTATCTTCCTCTTGCTTCTGTTTTGGTTCCTGAGATGGTTGTGGGTCCGTGAAATATGATTCATACCAAGGTGATGGAGTATAGTACATCCCTGGCGTCGTTTTCGTCACTATAGGCGCGGAAAAATAATTGTAGAGTAAGCTATTGACATCCTGTCCAACTACTGCACCGGCTGGTGGCTCGTAATAGTTGTAATTTCCATTAGCATCGACGTAAAAGTAACCACCTTGAGATCTCGTTTCCTCTTTCTGGACGGGTCCTGCTGGTGCTGGTGCTTGTGCCGCTGCTGGTGCTTGTGGTGCTGGTGCGTGTGGTGCTGATGCTTGTGGTGCTGGTGCTTGTGGTGCTGGTGCTTGTGGTGCTGGTGCTTGTGCTTGTGGTGTTGATGCTTGTGGTGCTGGTGCTTGCGCCGCTGCTGGTGCTTGTGGTGCTGCAGGAGCTGCTGCAACAGGTGAATTGACGTAATCTTGGTTTACTTGTGGTTTGACGCCTGTTGGCTTCGAAGCTATAGATACTGCATTTCCTTCTGTATTGGGGACAGAATCTAGAGCAGGTTTAGATGCTGCCGCTGTTTGACCAAATGCCGATGAAACGGAAGATGCTCCAGACGCACTTGTGTGGACTACTAATTGATCAGATTTACTTGACGGCAAAGTAAGACCTGATGCTTTTGAACTGGCTGCAGTTTTACTTACTGCATTTGCACTAGCCAATTTTGAACTGGCTGCCTTTCCTCTTGCTAAATATGAATCACCTGTTTTAGTATTTGCTAAATCAGCTTGTGGCGCGGAACTGGACACAAAAGGTTTGCTCGGGAGAATTTTTGATGAAGTAGTGGCACTCTGTTGTGAAAGCGTCTTTGTTGATGGTTTAATCTGCTTATTGATTATAGACTTTGAAGATACGATTCCACCTGTGCTAATTATTTTCTCTTCTCTATCTTTTGTTGAAGTTTTGGTAACATCATTCGTCTTAGCTGCCCCCTTTGCAACTTGCGGGACGGACCCTATGTTCTCAGTTACTGTACCTACGGATACAGATTTGATAGGTGAAGATATCTCATTTTTATTTCCGGAAGATGTTATTGAAAATGAATTCATAATTGATGCGCTTGATTGTTTCTTTGATTTAACAGAACTTGCTGCTGTCTTTGAAGAATCAGCTTCGCCTCTACCGGATTGGGAGGGTGGTTTTCCTTTATTTGATTTCGATCGAATATTTGACTTGGCATTATTTTCAGAACCAAATCGCTGTGATAGACTCGGTAGGGAATCACTTTTCGCAGTGTTACTCGATTTTTTCGAAATTGAGTTAACTACCGTTTTGCCTTGCCGATAACCATTACCGGAGATTTTGCTTTGTGACTGACTTGACCCCGTCTTTCCCTGCCCTTGCATACTTGGCTGCTTGACCTTTGCAGCAGTAGTCATAGATTGTAACATTCTGGATTGGTCGGAATTTCCTCGTGTGCTGCCTTGCATTCTTTGAGGCAAGGCTGACGGCGATCCTTTGGATTTGCTATTCATTATCAACTTGCTTCCTCTTGGTCCAGCGCCTGTGGAAGCTTGTGGAACAGTTTTTTCACCAGGAGGAAGTTTGCTGTTCATGTCCTGTCTCCTTCTATCTTTTCCTTTTGCAGATACGTTTACTCCTTGTTTAGCCTTGATCATTTGGCCAATACCATTACCTTGAATTGACGAACTGGAAATTGTTTTAATCTTATTGCTTTGACCCATTCCAAACGACTTTTCTCCTCCTCCTACTGAGCCAGCTTTTGGCTTCGATAGTGCAGGACTGGAAAGTTTTGGGACACCCGGTTTTCCTACAGAACTAATTCTTTTTATTGGCGTACCAGGTGCAATGGAACCTGAAGCGGTTGCTTGACCAGATCGGACATCTTTTACGGGGAGCGGCATAATCTGTCCCGGTATAGATACTGCTGGAGAAATAGCAACATTTGAGGGAAGAGGAACATTACGACTATTAGATGGTGAGGGCTTACGCACATTTAATGAAGCAAATTTGCCATTCGGTTTTGAAGGAATCTTATTGCCATTTTGTGGAGAAGGTGGTTTACGACCATTTTGTGGAGAAGGTGGTTTACGACCATTTTGTGGAGGAGGGGGTTGACGGCCATTTGGTGAAGCAGATGGTCGACGTCCATTTTGTGGAGGAGATGATTGACGGCCATTTTGTTGAGCAGATGGTCGACGTCCATTTTGTGAAGCAGGTGGTTGACGTCCATTTTGTGGAGATGGTTGACGTCCATTTTGTGAAGGATTTGATTGACGGCTATTTTGTTGAGGAGGTGGTTGACGACCATTTTGTGATGCAGGTGGTTGACGTCCATTTTGTGAAGGAGATGGTTGACGTCCATTTTGTGAAGGAGTTGATTGATGGCCATTTTGTTGAGAAGGTTGTTGACGTCCAGTTTGTGAAGGATTTGGTTGACGACCGTTTTGTTGAGAAGGTGTTTGACGACCATTTTGAGAAGACGGTGGTTGACGACCATTTTGTTTAGGAGGTGGTTGACGACCATTTTGAGAAGAAGGTTGTTGACGGTTATTTTGTGAAGAAGGTGGTTGACGATCATTTTGTTGAGAAGGTGATTGACGACCATTTTGTGTAATAGGAAGTTGAAAGCTGTTTTGTGGAGGAGGTGATTGACGGCCATTAGGTGAAGCAGATGGTTTACGACCATTTTGTGATGGAGTTGGTTGACGGCCATTTTGTTGAGAAAGTGGTTGACGGCCATTAGGTGAGGCAGGTGGTTGACGGCCATCAGGTGAAGCAGGTGGTTGACGGCCATTTTGTGCAGGAGGTGGTTGACGGCCATTTGGTGAAGTAGGTGATTGACGGCCATTAGGTGAAGCAGATGGTTTAAGACCATTTTGTGATGGAGTTGGTTGACGGCCATTTTGTGGAGAAAGTGGTTGACGGCCAATAGGTGAAGCAGGTGGTTGACGGCCATTTTGTGCAGGAGATGGTTGACGGCCATTTTGTGGAGGAAGTGATTGACGGCCATTTTGTTGAGGAGGTGGTTGACGGCCATTTGGTGAAGAAGGTGATTGACGGCCATTAGGTGAAGCAGATGGTTTACGACCATTTTGTGATGGAGTTGGTTGACGGCCATTTTGTTGAGAAAGTGGTTGACGGCCATTAGGTGAAGCAGGTGGTTGACGGCCATCAGGTGAACCAGGTGGTTGACGGCCATTTTGTGCAGGAGATGGTTGACGGTCATTTTGTTGAGGAGTTGGTTGACGGCCATTTGATGAAGTAGGTGATTGACGGCCATTAGGTGAAACAGATGTTTTACGACCATTTTGTGATGGAGTTGGTTGACGGCCATTTTGTGGAGAAAGTGGTTGACGGCCATTTGGTGAAGTAGGTGGTTGACGGCCATTAGGTGAAGCAGATGGTTGACGGCCATTTTGTGCAGGAGATGGTTGACGGTCATTTTGTTGAGGAGGTGGTTGACGGCCATTTGGTGAAGTAGGTGATTGACGGCCATTAGGTGAAGCAGATGGTTTACGACCATTTTGTGATGGAGTTGGTTGACGGCCATTTTGTGGAGAAAGTGGTTGACGGCCATAAGGTGAAGCAGGTGGTTGACGGCCATCAGGTGAAGCAGGTGGTTGACGGCCATTTTGTGGAGGAAGTGGTTGACGTCCATTTTGTTGAGGAGGTTGTTGACGGCCATTTTTTGGAGGAGGTTGTTGACGGCCATTTGGTGAAATATGTGTTTGACGACCATTTTGTGGAGGAAGTGGTTGACGGCCATTTTGTTGTCGACCATTCTTTTGAATTGACGGTTGACGACCATTTGTTGGAGGTGGTACGCGGTTATTTCGTGAAGTAGTTGATAGACGACCATTTTGTGGAGGAAGTATTTGACGACCGTTTTGTGGAGGAGGGGGTTGACGGATATTTTGTTGAGAAAACATTTGACGATTATTTAGTTCAGATGATGGCTGACGGCCATTTTGCGGCGATGGTCCGCGGCTATTTCGTTTTGTTGGGGGAAACGGTCGATTTGGTGGAGATGAGCTTTGACGAGAATGTGTCGAGGAAGGTTGCGCACGTTCATTTGGTGGAGGCGTCGGCTGACGGGGATTGTTTGGAGGGGATGGCATACTCCCCTTCTTCGGGGAAAATTGTGTAGGAGATTGTGATTTATGTCCATTTCTTTGAAGACCTCGGCGAGTATTGGATGGTGATGACGAATGTCTGTGCATTTGAGGTATGGGTGATGGGGGCCGTCGGAATGGTAGCGGACGGCTTACTTGGTCACGTGTGGGTTTTAAAGGAGTTGCTTGTTCTAAAATCAAAATCAAAATAAAACATACGAAATTATACCACACAGATAGAAAATAAAAGCAAATGGCAAATAGACGAAAAGTGTATGTCCAACCATTGATCGCCTTTTATTGGCGAGGAGCTATTGTCATAAGAATCTAATAAAAACTCAATATTCAATTTCCGGAAGTTATGAAAAATTGGAAACGCACAAATTGCTGATATTAAATATACCATGCATTCAATTTCGAGTCCTTCTGATTGTACAACACCAACGAATTAAATGCTTTGAGCGTTTAAGAGATCGCAAAAATATACGTCTATGCAAGTACATTGCCTGATATGATATTGTTTTTTTTTATTCATCTATTTTAATAAAGAAATATTGTAATTGATTTTAAATTAGGCACAAGACACTCGTTTCGAAAAGCCAATGAAATGCTCCCATTTCCTCTCATTGAACTGTCATTAACTATAATGAACATTTTGTATCATGTGAGCAGTTTTTTTGGAACAAATTGCACAAAAATCTTGTTAAAAAGAGATAAGATAGTACCTTTCACGACCACAGGTGAACCGCTTGACGCTGCAAAGCGTGCCGGGATATTACCTCCGGTCACAGAGAAATGCACTGGTTTAGGAGTGGCTGGTGGAGGGGGTGGCTTCCCACTGTACTGAATAGGCTCAGAGCGTGGTGCAGCTGCTCTGGCGAACGAAAACGACTTGGCATTCGGTAGAGAGCTCCGCCCATTTGTTGCAGGTTTACTGTTCACAACAAATTTGACTGGAGTACACCAAACTAAGGCGACGACCGAAAACAAAATGGCCACGATCGTAAATGAAGACATCTCTTCTCACCTTCCTGCAAAAACACAACAAAAAACGTAAATGATAACGAATATATTTTTAAGGGAATACAGTAAGATTAATTTTCGCTCAATATTTTGAACAGTTTATGAAAGGGCCATACAAGTTAATGTTTCGAGTATTTTCGGAGCGATTGTAGCGAAAAATATAACTCTTATGAAATTGTTAAGGAATTCTTAAGATATGAAAGTTATACACACACATTGCCTACCATGTGTAATTGATAGGGTATGTTAAATTATGAATGAATTACACTACATCATACCCTATAAAATCACTATTATAGCTGATGCAATAAGTTGCTGCTGTAAGATCCGTGTCACTCTCTTCAAAGTATGGTTAGCTTAGCAAATAAAACTAACTTTAGTTAAGAAATATGAAACTTAATTTTATTTCTGACTTTGGACACACATTTTAAATAAATGTGAAAGTAACTTATTTCTGAATTTCTGAATTTCATTAATTTATTTTGTGAAAAAGTACAAGATGAGCTCATCTGACGTTGAACGAATCGGCCAAAGTAAAACATAACCTTGATAATATGATTACTTGACTCAATTGCTTCAAATAGATAGGACCTTTATTATAATGAGTGTTAACCGAGGATCATTTACTTATTAGTGTAGAAACACTATAACGAAGGATACCTAATTTAAGGAAGAATTCATATTATTTAAAATATGTAAGCTAGATAGGGATTTGGTGACTCAAAGGTGTACGTTAGTGCCAAGTTAGTTGTGTCATTATACCTTGTTTGTCAAATTGTCTCTAGTTAACCAGACACATTGTATATCACACGCTTGGAACATGATGTTTTGTAAACATCTGATACGCAGAAGCGTGTGGTATATAATGTGTCTGGTTAACTGCTCCCTTTGTCAAATCACTGCAATATCCAACAACCTTAGCTACATTAACAAAAAAGACAGACATACATAGGGTGACATTAATGTTTGTTTACCCTCATATTGCATTCAGTGAACATGGTTTCAATAATGTTACAATTAACAAACCTTCAAATCACATTGTAACTTGTGCTTTCGTGGATTGTTATTAATTCTACAATTGACACTTATTTTTTAATGTTGGAAAAATATTACTGGATACAAGCGGCCTTCGTTCATTATATTTCCATCATTTTCTCACCCTCGTTATATATTCCACCATAATTTACGCAAATATGATGATTATTTCTTGACCAAAAAAATATCTCTAATATGTATGTGATGTTAATCCATTAACGATTCAATTTTGAAATATGAATGACAAAAATTATGTTTATTTCAGTATTTGAATGAAACCAAAGAATATTAGATAGTGATGACAAATTTGTTATCAATATAGTTGAAAACAGTATGCGGTACCTTTTAATAATAATAAGAATATAAACAATAGCGCAAACGCAAACGAAGATCGATAACGGGAGAGGATTTCTTTCGAATATTCTTGAAAATGGTCAATACGATTTAAATCACAATGCGAAATAAGAAAACTTGTTCACATTTGTAGCAATTGTATAATGAAACTTGTAACTGTAATTGAATTAAAGGAGCAGGCGTTGAACACTCGCAGGAAACGTATGCCTTACATAAAAATATGTACCGTTTTATTCGACTACTGAAAAAATATAAAGCTTCTGAAAAAGAATATGCGTCATTGCTTATTCCAATGCCGATCAATACAAAGTGAAGCCCATTTAGTGCGTTTTGTCATGGTTTATGCTACTGGTCAGCTGATTGATTGCACTGAAAAAGAATATGCGTCATTGCTTATTCCAATGCCGATCAATACAAAGTGAAGGCCATGTAGTGCCTTTTGTCATGGTTTATGCTACTGGTCAGCTGATTGATTGCAAAGACTTGTTGCTATATCACTTGCGATTGACAGGCCACCAATATCCATGCGGCGACCTGTCACTGCTAGTCATTAACTGGTCCACACCAAAACAGTAATGTTCTACTCATATTTGTAATTACGTATATATTCCGTGATTGACAACTGTCTGATGTGCAATAGACCATGACTTTTTGTTATGGTTACCCGGCGTACGTCATGCCCGCTGTGTAAACATATAACATAATGAAACAGAGAGGTTCAAAAAACTATAGATTAAGAGACTGTCAATTATGGATTGAAATTCACATTTTTAACATTTATGTGGTATGACACACAATTCCATTCCAATGTATCGGAAAAGCATCATTAAAAATATATATTTGAGCAAAATTATGCATACCACAATAAATGTTTAAAGACGTCTTCCAATAAGTTCAAAGTGACAAAGAAATTGTATTTTATCTTTCTGGATGGTTTTCTGGTTCTTGATATAATAATTAACATCCATGGAACAGTCTAGGCTCACAGTTTTTTATGGTTACCAGCTCTGTCAGATCATAAATGTCAATCAAAAACCATTCGTAAGCTAACACTATGGCAGAAAAAAAACAAGATCTTAAATGTAAACGAAACACTAAAACAAATAATTACTTTACATACAAAATGGTAATGCATTCTTCTGTACGTTTTAATGCTTAATGGAAATAGGTTAAAAAATTGTGAAATCACTATATTTCGATTTGAAAAACAAATCATTGACTTCGAGGTTATCTTCTTCCACGAATTCATAGGTCCACGAAATAATGAAAAGTTTTATATAAATCAATTATCCATTTGAGTGGGTACACCACATATTATGTACCCACGAAATGGGTTTTTTCGGGAAACAACAACATTTTGGCCCACTAAAATATATATGATTTTACAATATAAAAATTAAATGTGCAGTCAACTGAATGGTTCTTTATTTCATGTATCAGCTTGTTAAACACTTTCATGCCTGAAATAGCAATTTTATAGTGTTAAGTATACGAAATTATTTTTATATTGTCTCCAAACTGCTGTTTAAATCATCCTTTGGGAGGATAATCAGCCATAAATACCGCTGTTCATTTGATGACATCATCATTATTATAACGGCATTTATGGTAATTGAACATCTTTGACCCTTCCTCGGAGAAGACTGTACTATCCATTCAAAACATGCACGATACATACACGCATTTGAAGTAAAGTTTGAAATTTGATATATTATCTAATTTATGAGATTATTTTATTTTTCCAATAAATAGATAAATAAAATAATAAAAATAAGTATTTCACTGCTTTCAGTTGGCATTCATTGTCAAACTGTAAGCTAGTTCGAAAAAATAAATATCATCATGGGGCGATAGGAGTACAAAACGAAAGCAGAGAAATATTTCATAAACACATACATACAAAAATAGATATCTTGAAAATAAATCATTTTCATTATTTGCTAAAATATGCAATATGTATTTATGACAAATTGAATGAACGAATCAGCTATTTGAGTTAAAAGATAACAAACAAACGAACGGACCTGAACCGGATTGAATGAAAGTATGTATAAAAATACATGTAAGTGTATAAATGAATAACGAAATTACTGCATAAGTGAATGAATGTATAATAATCAATTCATACTACAGATGGTTATGTTTATGTGACATTGCAATGCTTTTAATGTGATTGGTATGGACCAATGAGCTACTATTGTCATTAGGATATTTTATGAGGACAAGCATGTTTTTAACAAGTGTCATTATGATCAAATGAATGATTCACATTAAGTTAAACGATGTAGAAATCATAGTCTTATCGGAACATAACGATGAATTTATATTTTGATTTGATTTTAAGTTTGGAAAGGACTTAAATAGGCCTAGCCTGATGTCCAATCCAGTTGACATATATAAAGTCAATAAATTCTGCTGAAATTGACATTTTGATTGTGTAAACATTATTTAGAACACAATCTGTACCACCTCCCGAAATGAGGACACTAAATCCGTTTTAGAATGATGAAATTGTGAATTATAATTCAAAGAAAGGCGATTTCATCCAATAAAATAACACTATCTTTCTGCCAAAAAAATCATTTTTGGGTATATAGATAACCATTAAGATGGATACTTACCTGTGGGCAGCTCTAAAAGATGTACTTTATCCAACTATAGCTGCAGAAGAACCAAATCACATGTACACCTTATATTAGGCGGCATATAAACAGTTGTATATACCACAAGGTAAGTCGTAAAAGAGTCACTCATTCGTGAGCATCCTGGCAACTAACGCTTAACACACAAAGTGTTTTATCACGATAAGAAAGACACGAAATGCAAAAAACGGAAGTGGTATACATACCTGTGCATTTATATAGCAGAATATATTAATTGTAACCAATGTCCAAACGAGCTACCTGAGGAACCAGGTAGCTATGACCAATACAGGTTGTTTAAACCATGCAATTTCTCAATATAAACGTTCACTCGCTCTCCTTTGACTAAAGCTTTGACCATAGAGTATGTCTACATTTCCAGCTTAATGTATGTGTAATAGTGACATATTAACTGGACGTGGTCTATCTAACGTTATAAAACGTGGGAAAAAATATTTGACCGGAGATATTTTTGTATACAATAAAAACGCCAGACGTCTCCCCTAGTAAAACCACATTTTTTCTAATAATAACGCTAGGTATCGTCCACGGCTCAACTACTTCACACAGATTCAGATTAATCACGTTACTGTCTGTAGAAACACTGTCATATTATAGTTGTTTTGTGTAGGTTGTGTCTGAAGTTGATCCGAGTGGACAGGTTTACATGTTGATGTAATTTATATATTTCATCAACACATAATGAAATAAAGTTTTGAGTTAATGCTTTGTTAAGCAGTAATTGCGTTAGATATATTGTTATAGTCATATGAGTGTACATGTACATGTACCTAACAGTCAGTCTTCATAGACCCTCCTCTGGTAAGATTTGTTACAATAAAAGTATTGAGAAAAACATAATGCATTACATGTCCAGTGCAACACTTTACAGCGACTAACCATGACATTATTTATTTCAATGTCTACCTGTACTAAGTTAAATACGTACCACCAATTGATAGTATTTAACATTCAAACAATTTCTAGGAAAACGACTATATATTCAAAAGTTTATTTGCTAAAACGCGGGAAGTGTTACTGTATAGAGGTAAAACCTTAATATGAACACCCTTGATCCATTTGCCACGTCCGTAATATCCATTTTTTTATTATCTGCATTCTATTTGTCTTAAGAATTCCCTCTGGTGTTTCCCTCGAAATATTGACTCTATATATTTATAACGCCAAGGTTGCTTGGATCAACAGTGTCACTATAACAAGAGTTTCAGCCCTATTAACCACTATTTCATTGAACTAACTAGTTTCAAATGGTAACTTTGCCCTTCAAAGCACGAATATATGCGGCAATATAAAAATGGGTACCTGTAGTAACTACTATGATAAAAGACCAAAGTCAAACCGCCAAATACTTCTCTGTTTCAAATGTAGATATAAATACGCGAAGCAGGTTTTTAAGTACATGTACGTACTACATTAAGATGAACATGTATATATTTTTATGTCCAAATTAACGAAATTAGATTTAATAGAAAAAAATACCGTAATCTTTCTATTGTTACATTGTTCGTTTGCGTTTGAAAACAAAATGCAAATTGTGGATCAATGTGCACGTCCCTTCCACGAAACCCATATTACAAACAATTGTACCCATCTAATATCCCTATAATGGCGCAAACAATGTCCATTGAATCAAAATGCACTCAATATACAACATTTAATATACAACAATTGATATAGCGCCCTATCTAGCTAGAATAAGCCACTCTAAAGCGCTTTACAGTACATAGATATAAAAGTTATACAATCAATACAGTTAGTATATACATTAATCAATACAATAATGAGGAATTCGCAGGAGCTGCCTTATCAGACGCTTAATACTTGTCCTATGCCACCTGACTAATATCTCCCAATGCGTGTATGCCTGTGTGTGTCCTGGAGATGTATTGTGTTCTGTTTGTAGTGGGACCGTGCTTCCAACGGTATCATTTATAGTGCCATCTTACTTGAAAGCTACAGCACATTTACTGCAACATCCACCCCAGACCATTTTATACTCCATCCGGGCTGTTGGAGTTGTGTGGCCATGCATACGACGACTTCGATGATCGAACCCCGGCCGCTTGCGTGGAAGGCCACGGAGTGTTAACCACTCGACTAATCCGCCCACTTGGAGTTCCTACTGTTTTCAGGTCCTTTAAGTTTCTGTTGTCTTACTGCTTCTGCTTCTATTTCATACCTTGTCGTATACGCTCACCATACAGTGTAAGATGTGTTTGTGTTTGCTTGTGATTTGAGGAATTAGAAAAGACATTTTTAATCAAAATGATAAACCCCTTCCTTTGCGTTATGAGGCAAGCAATATCCTGGTGATATGTTTATACATATATTACGAAAAATGAGTCATAATGGCCATTACACAGTGTGTGGCATAGATTAACTGTAATAGGCAGACTCGAAGGAATATCAACTTTAAAAATAAATGACTAAAACATGACACATTTATTTGACAAAAATAAGCTAGCTTTACAAAATTGTATCAGAAATGACGTACATTTAAATTCATGTAATTTTAGTTAAATACACTTCTGAGTTTCTGAAAAATCAGATTATTGTTTTACTATAGCATCAATAGACAGTGAAAAATCAAAACATAAAATTGGCACAATTAAACACTAAAAAAAACTTTGAAATCAGTCAATCAACAAGAACCAACCTACAATATTTAGTACTACTCGTTCAATTTTTTGTTGTTCCTTTTTTTCTTAACAATTGGATTATATGTCTCGCTCATAAAATCGCAAAGCTCCGTTAACACGTAAACATGTTTGGATGGACAAATGTTGGCCAGTAACGAGAATTCACTGGTGTACTCGTCTGAAATGATGATATATGTATGCACGCATAAACGTGTTTAACAACCTCAGTGCGCCAAGGCAATTGCTGATAACATAGTATGATATACTACATCAAGGGCCAAATTAATGAAGGGCAAAGTCATTGTATGCGTACTCGTTTCTTCCCTTTCAGGGTGCAATGCCCTTCTAACAGTTAAGGTCTTATGGAGACACATATTTCTTGAATACTAAAAAAGGAGAGGGAAGGGAAATCAAGAAACGACAAAAGACGAATGGAGCAAACGGGGAATATAACCTCCCTACACTTTGGTAGGTGTATTATGTCCAGGTTTAGTAGAAATGTAAGTATACACATTTGATGTACATAAACAATAATCTGCAATGACTGCAGTGAGACATTGCTTGCCGATACGTGTTGTTGCTGAAAATAGATATTAACGATTGACATTAGGCATGGGTAATCAAATCAGTTCTTCCGCTATGAGACATGTTTGTGTGTTTTGGCCGACACTTGACGCTCTACTGACCAGCGTGACGTAGACCTGGTCAGCAAGTACATACACACAGATAAACTGTGAGTGCTTGTATGGTTTAGTAACGTACATTTAAGGCTGTGAAGAGGATATGGATGCACGAGTAAGATCTAGATTTATGAGGATGGTATCACTTTTTAAAGACATTCAAATAAACATGTTAAATACTGTATGTTCGTGTATGACAACATGTGGAAAGGAAATTGTTTTATACACACATGGGTTACAGAAAATAATTGGGTTGAGCAAGACCAATCGCAGATACAAATTGTCAATGTTAGTTTCCATAGCGTTTTTATTTTAAACTATATTGAGTGCCTTTGAAATCCATTACGTAATAACTCAATATGTATGTTTAACTCATCTGTCTCCGTGTTTCCTGTCAAATTCATGTTCTTAAATCGTCCATTACCAGCTTAACGTATAAACTAAACTATATAGGAGCTATGATAATCAAGTTATTAATAAAATATATAAGATATCGTAATTTTAATAGAAAATGTCTTATTCACATTATAAGATATGTTTGATATAATTTTCTATACGATATATTATATTGACGCATACAATATCGTATGAAATATTTCAGATATTTTAGAAAATACGTTTAAACACAAAACTGGCATTACCCCCGTCAGTTGGTGTGTAGATGCTTTATACTCCGAATGACATTGACGTTGGGTCATTTGGTCAAATTCGTCAACGCTTCTTATTGTATGATAGAGAAATGTATTTCTTTAAAGACCTCATGATGGCATTTTGTTTCTGTTTCGAACTGTTTGAGCTGTAATTAATCATGTTACATTGTTTATAGTGAGTGGTCAGTGAGTGTCCGGTGGAGTGTAGTGGTCAGTTTATGTTTGTTCCACTGATACACTTCCCATACAGTGTCTGCTCTCGTCATGATATAATATATATATTGGTAATGACTCATTATTCCTGTCAGCCTATTGTTTTGTAAACAATGTCGTATAGCGTTTGCAACCGACCGACCGAAAGACAGACAGACAAGTGATGTTGAGTAGTCATCGACAACGGAAAACGAAACCAAGACTATAGCAACCAAAACATCTATAACAACATAACAACATGAAATTGTACTTCCTGATGGTCGGCGATTTTATATTTTAAAACAAGCAAAGGATGAGTGTATATCAGGCTCTTTTTGGGCCCCAGTATATGAGGTTAGGAAACTTAAAACTACCAGCAAATCAAACTTCACATATTAAATTAATCATTTTACAGTAGTTGTGGTGGCAAATGCCATTTTTTTTTTTAAGTTAACTTTGATAAGTAAGAAAACAAGTTAGGACGTAGGACTCACTTAAGCCAAAGCTGTTGAGCAAATATTATATGATATATATATTATACAATATCAACTATTAATATCTTAATATGCCCTGCCTGCACCATTTAATTTACTGAAGATTAAGAGATATTTGAAATAGCCACGTTTGAGATGTGTCCAGAAGCCATAACTTGGTATAAAACAAATGGAAACTGTATAATGAATATGCACTTTATGAAAGTGTACTCAAATGNACAGTCTTTAAATGACGATTGAATTTCTGTCATTTTTCATTCTTTTTTAAGCTTGTTTTTTTTACACATGTTTCCAAAAACAGAAATGGTATTATTTTGGTTTTAAAGCTCATTTTGAAAACAGCAAATTATATTTGTGATTTACCCTGCCCATTT